GCCTGTCCTCTACTGGAAGCTTTCCCTACTCTGGAGTTGAAATCGCCCACCATGACAACTTCTCCCTTCCTACTGAACTTCTGGACGTCTTCCCCAATTTGTCCAAAGTTCTCCTGCGCCTTGCTTGCGACTTTCTTCGACGACGGTGGGACGTATACGTTCCCTAGAAACAAATCTTTCTCACCCCGCTCCCCAGGTATCTTAAGCCATAGGCTTTCCTCGAACTCCGTTTTCACCACTACTTCCACCACGTCCAACAAGTGTTCCTTGACCAGGAATCCGACTCCCCCCTCCCCCCTTTTCTTCGGAGGAGGGAGGAGGGGGAAAAAGGGGGGGGAGGGAGGGAGGGAGAGGCAGCGGCGACGAGAGGGAAAGGTGGTAAGTGTTTGGCCGGAACGGTGGGCATGCATGGCCGGAGTGGGGAGGGGGTGTCGTTGCGGAGGCTGTCGTTGCGGAGGCAATTGACACCACAGTGGTGGCAGGGCACGGCCCAAGCAAGGAGAGCGGTTGGCCACGAATGGAGAAGAAGTAATCGAGACGTAGAAACTGCGACTGTATAAATGCCCTTTGGATGTTGTGTAGTTCGCAGGGCACATAGGCTGCCATCAAGAGCAGATCGCCAGAACTTGAAGTTCTGCTTGAAGGTTGTGTACGGCCGGCAAGCGAAGCATGCCCGACCGTGAACTAATATGAGCGTGTTTCGTTGCGTGCATAACGTGTTGTGAAAGAGCAAGTTTTTTTTTCGAGTTTTTTGGGAGAACGGGTTAGATTCGACTCTCAATAGTAACGAGTGCAGACCCAGTGTAGAAACAATGGGTAGATGAAGGGTCGATGCAGGGTTCTCTTCCCCTTTTCCGAAGAGCCGTATTTTGATGTTCGATGCCTCCTTATTTGAAACACTTTTGCAAGAATATACCATGGTGAAAGTATGGTTGAAGCATATCGCACAAAACGCACAGCAGTACAAGCTGGTCCAGCCAAGACGCGTATTTCACGGTTGGACCGGATTTCCCGCGTGGTTTTTTCGAATCAGGACCTGATATTTTGAGACGGCATCTGCATGAGTACATCAACAAAAAATTACCACTGCGCCATTTGGATTTTTTTTTTTCCATGAGTTACCCCTATTGTTGAAAATATGGGAATACTTGTTTTGGGACAAAGTGACTTTAAAAAAAAAACAAATGGCGCAGTGGCAATTGTTTTTGTTGTACTCATGCAGATGCCGTCTCAAAATTTCAGGTTCTCATTCGAAAAAACCGCGCGGGAAATCCAGAATTTCGTTCTGGCCTCAGAACCTGGGTGCAGGGGCACACCATTTGGATAGGAAAATGAGGGGTCTAGGGACCGTAGAGACGTGTGAGAAAGCGGTGTAGTTGGCAGGAGCCACACTGGCGCTGCCTACCAGCCCATGACGTACATGAGTTGTACCCACTGGTCGTGATGATGTGAAACATGTATTAAAAGCTCACGACGCCAACATGCGCGTGCACAAACTCGAACAAATATGTCTCAACTCGACCGGAAAAAAAAAACAGACTTTTACGGCATGATCCAGTCCCTCTCGTGCACCCCCCTTGAATCTCGCTTGAAACCACCGTGCCCCCGAAAGTCCCCGAGCCACCCCAGGATTGTCGATGCCGCGTAAACCCGTGAGCCAGCGGAGTTTACTCTCGCCGCGATCCGCAAGAGCGACGACTCGTGTCGAAGACGCGAGGCCTCGTTCAACAGCTCAAACCGTTTGGCCTCTGCTGCCTTGACCGCTGGGATCGTCGTGTACGACTCATCGGACAAGCTCTTCGCCTGCTGCGTGAGTTGCAGTTGCCGCAGGTCGCGCTTCCGCTCCTCCTTCAACACCGTCAACGCCGAGTGCCCTTGATACCACAAGCGGTTTGCTTGGGTGGCGGACACTTCCTCCTTGTACTGGTTGTCCTCGCCCTCGGTACACGCCCGTGCGTCCACCTCTGCATTTCCTTCGATGGGCGAGGGGGGGAGAGGGGCGAGAAGACTCGCGAGGTCTTGCTCCGCCATAGCATCCTCAATACGCCGAATGTGCTNTCGAATGTGCTGCTCTTTGCTACCGATCTGCGATGTCAGCTCGTAGATCCGGTTGCCGAGATAGGAGCCCCGCTTGTCGAAGTCCCGTCGAAGCTTTCCTTCCCTCTTGCTCCAGCCCCGGGCCACCGAACGTCTCTCGCGCCTGGAAAGCGTCGACTCTAGCGTGAAGCCTGCGCGGGTCGCGTCCGAACCTGCCAGCCGCTGTCGCTTGAAATTCCTTTCCTCCACGGCGTTTAGCTTGCCGAGGCTGTTGCGCGATTTTCCTGTGTGAAATTGGGATTTCGGGTCGAGGCGTCAGTTCATGTGAAACATTTTCATACGACAGCAGCAGCAAAGTTTGACAGGAAAAGATCAATGCCAAGCACAGCGAGCCCTATCTGATCCCGCCCCCGGTATATGTTGATGTGCGTATTGGCAGTGCAGCCCGTATTTTTTTCAAGGAATAAGCAGATGAAGTAACACGCGGCGTGGTGCATGGATGTTTGGATCAGTTGAAGGGGATCGCGAGCACAGATGTCGACTGTATTTGTATTCGTGCAGGGAGTGTTTTTGGCCCGCAGCAGGGCACTACTGTAGCAGAGTTTATTTAGAACACACACAAAGATAGAGTACTAAAACAAAACCATATCTACTGCTGTAGTATCGCCTGGGTCCGGTACTGTCAATATGTGATGATGGCGAACCACGTGCATGTGGAAATTTGGTCGACTGATTACACTTGTGAGAGCGCCTACAGGGGCTTTGTATTCGTGCAGGGAGTGTGATCGGCCCGCAGCAACGCATCACGGCAGAAGTATACGCAGAGCATACACAAGGATGAATTCCTAAAACTAAGCGATAACTATTGCTGTAGTGTTGCCTGGGTCCGGTGCTGTCAATATGTGATGATCGCGAAGCATGTGCATGTGGAAAATTGGTCGACTGATCACACTTGTGACGAGCATCTGTAAGGCCCCACGGGGAGCTGCGCCCGCACAGCAGTAGGCATAGAGGTTTAAATAGGCAGCAGTTGAGGAGTGCATAAAGGTGTGAATGGTGCGTTCAAACAGCGCTTGTAGCACCGGTGAGTACAACATCGGGACCGGCAAGCCAGCACATGACACGCGCAGTCTTGTACGTGACAATGTTGTGTCAGCTCAGCTCGTTGCACCTAGTGCACTTTGAACCGAAAAACATGGAAAATGCTACATACGGGGAAAACAAAATTATCGCGATACGGTGTAGTTTTCAGAACTTTCGAGAGTTGCAAGTAGTACCCTCACGTACAGATACTGGCCGCCGTCGCCGCCGTCGCCGCTGCCGCGGCAGAAGCAGCAGCAGCAGCAGCAGCAGCAGCAGCAGCAGCAGCAGCATGACGGACGCGGTTTGTTTGTGGAAGATGAAAAAAAAAGCCGTTGCGAAATAAAAAAAATAAAGGTTTGGACACCAGCAACCTCTCACAAGAGGTGGCACTCGTTGCAANCGTCACTGCTGCCGCGGCAGAAGCAGCAGCAGCAGCAGCAGCAGCATGACGGACGCGGTTTGTTTGTGGAAGACGAAAAAAAAAGCCGTTGCGAAATAAAAAAAAAACAAGGTTTGGACACCAGCAACCACTCACAAGAGGTGGCACTCGTTGCAAGCTTCCAAATATGTTACTCGCCCTCCCTTGCTTACAGTAGGCAACAACGAGAGCGAGTGCCACGCGCAGCAAAGCCTGCTGTAGTGTACGCATGCAGCGTGCGCTTTCGACCACTCGCGATGTCCGCAGCCTGCTGCCACGAACAGCACCGATTTGAATTTTGAGGAACATGATTGTGTGTTTAGGCAATTTACGACTTGCCTGCTGGAAGCGCAGTCGCTGCCGCCACCGCTGCTGAGGATGGGACTGGATCTCTCATCGTGCGCTTGTAGAGCTTGCCGCGATGGCTGTACTCCCAGCCTATCCTGAAGTCCAAGACGCCGGCAAGCGCTGCCTCTCGAGAAGCAAACCTTGAACTCTGCTGCCTTTTCGCCTTGTCTCCCTTCCGCTTTGTGAAGTTGAGGAACAACCGCCACTTGCCAGTGTTCTTCTCTGGATAGCACACGGGCATGGACGTCTTCTCCCACTGGTCTGTGGCTGCGGGGAAGCGGCTGGAAGCCATGCTGTCGCTCTCTGCACGGTGCTGCGCAACAGCAATATGTGCTGCTGCTGTGTTTTTTTTTCAAAAATCCCTAATTCCGCCGCAAAAAAAAACGTTTAAATTTTTTGTGAGCGCCTCTAAAACCTTTATGAATTGGGGGTGATATCTTCCGTTTTGAGAGAACTGGGACAATCAGCTGTTTGCCAACACGTGCGTACCCGCTTTGGTTGGGCGATTCGGGGGATATGCCGAACGCGGCTCAATGCTTTTTCCTCGATAAGCTATGGCGTGACGAACGCAAGTTGGTTTCTTGGCTGGACCAGCTTGTAGCACAGACGCAACAACGCGCAAGACGACCACGTTCGAAGAAAGTAAGTTTTGGAGAGAGACGGAACGAAAAATATGCCTCCACACGGACTCGAACCCCATGACTGCGAGGAGTCTTCACGTATAGAACAAGACAAGAAAATGAGGGGTCGGGAAAGAGAGGGTTTGGGAAACACCACGGAATGGTTCGGAACGTTCCGCCCCACTCCACTATTGTAGCAAGTCTTTTCTCGTGTCTCCATTGCGAGATGTGCATGTACGCCAACGTGGAGAACCATGGCCAGGTTGTGTACAGTCGGGGAAGGATGTTGTATGGTCCCTGAAGATGCGAGCGCCTCTTCGTCGTTACTGCTGCTGATGAGCTGGTGAGAGCGATCGTGCGCGCTGTGGCACCCGCTTGGTTACAAGTCACGAGGACGAAACCGGAGCACGGGATGCTAGTCCAGATACAGCAGTTCATGACAATAGTCTAGAGAACAAGGAAGGAGGATTCTATTTACGTCACCGGTGGCGTTTTTTCTTATATACGTCACCGCCCGTATCTCAGCCCACAGGGCTTCAATTGGCACGAAATAAATTTCGTTGTGTAGCTATGACCCACACCAATCATACAAGCCTTTCGACGGTCAAATCCGATAAGTGGTTGCGGAGATTTGCTCAAAAGGGGGCTCAGCAGTATGTTACTGCATCTACCACAAAATATCCGACTGTAACTTCGCGCAGAGAGCTCCGATCGACACCAATAGCTTAAGTGATGGCTGTGAATCTAATCGTGGAAACACAACGCGATTTACATAGTTAGTGTCGATGAGAACTCTCTGAGAGGAGGCACGGTCGTTTTATTTATGGCAGATACAGTATATCATACCGCTGAGCCCCCTTTTGAGCATATCTCCGCAACCACTGATCGGATTTGACCGTCGAAAGGCTTGACAAGCCTTTCGTATGATTGGTGTGGGTCGGACCGCTGAGCCTCCTTCTGAGCATATCTCCGCAACCACTGATCGGATTTGACCGTCGAAAGGCTTGACAAGCCTTTCGTATGATTGGTGTGGGTCGGACCGCTGAGCCTCCTTCTGAGCATATCTCCGCAACCACTAATCGGATTTGACCGTCGAAAGGCTTGTATGATTGGTGTGGGTCATAGCTACACAACGCAATTTATTTTGTGCCAATTGAAGCTCTGTGGGCTGAGATACGGGCGGTGACGTATATAAGAAATAACGCCACCGGTGACGTAAATAGAATCATCGTTTATAGTCTATGTTGCCGATTGCGCCAATGCGCAACCACGGATGACAGCAGATATGTAAATGTGGCATAATGTCACGCCAGCTAAGCGGCCGGTTGGCAGCTCCCCGTCACCATGTGGACGGGGAGGCACGCATGACAGATGCCAAGGCTGTTCCCTCGACCTCGAGGTGTGCACAGAAAACACACACCCGCGGCCGGTTTATTGTCCGATCGATTCCCCTGTAGCAAAGCAGCGCGGTGAGATATATTGCACCAAATTGCACAACCTACATACATGCTGCAGTGTAGCAGACAGCAACATGCCACGGCAGGCCATCAAGTGGCCACTCAGCAGCAGCATGCTATCGCCATTATTTCGATGGCATGATCAGATAGGCACGGGGCTTTCCACCGAAGGGATAAGGAAGGGTAGTCTGTACGCACGAGCAAAGGTCACGTTATCGCAATCAAGGTAGCATGGACGAGGCCAGATCTGTTTCGCAGAGACCGCCGCGTTCCGACGCGACCCTGCCAGCGATCGAATCGTCGTGGAAGGAAGGCCACAGCGCTCACCAAACCCACAAGTCATCGAAATAGAAGAGTGCCACCAAGCATGGGCGGCGCATCACACGTACATGGATCGACTCGAAAGCCCATCAAGCTGAAGGAAAAACAAACATGCACATGGCTTTCCACAAACAGACAAACGAGTCAGAGGGGGCAAATGTACCCCCCCTCTGAAGCCGGTACAAAAACAAACGACTGAAACAAAAGAAGGAGGACAGAAGCAGAGAAGAGCATCGCGAACTGCGGTGCACCAGCGAAGGACCGGAGTCCAAATGCTAGACGACGCCACAATGTTATGGAGGAACATGGGAATAAAAGGGAAGGAAGCAGGTTCGCTGCTCCTTGCTGGCTCACTCACAGATGTTGTTGGATTTCATGTTTTATCCTCTTCATACCTAGCCCGCGTTCCGCGCTCACAAGTCTAGAGTGAGGACGGGGGCTATTATCTTTGTCACAGCAACCAACGAAAATACACAATATCCACATCATGATGTCATGATCATACAAGACTCAACACTAGTTGCTCATTACAATCACACAGCATGATCACACAGCTCACCACCTCAGCCAAGCATGATAGACCGAGGGTTCTCAAGCCCGTTGCACACTGCGGAGACTTGGGTGACTACAGTGGGCTAAATAGAAATTTTGGTACTGTGTCCACAAAGTTTCCCCATTTGGGCTTCCAGTATAGTCTACTAAGAGGGTTAAAAACCGTTCCGATCTCTCTACCTTCATCTGTCCGTACTGATCATGACCAAGCGATCCCCATGGTCACAGTTCTAACCTGCCGAAAATAGGTATCCCCAAATAACTGTATTTCGTTTCACGTCCAACAAGCATTGTTGCTCTCCGGGAGTTGCTACGAATGGCCCGGAACACAAGTGTTTGGAGCAGTGGGAGTCGGCGATTCCGGTACGTTCGACATAGCCCCGTCTTGTGCCCCAGATGACGTTTGTCGTGTGTTGTCAAAACGCGCACGTGTATGTGCAGTTTCTCGTCGAGGCACATCGTTTTCTTCACATTTTCCCAACATCTACATCAGTATAAAACCTCATTCGACTCAATGTACACTTCGTTGAGACTCACACA